GGAAAACTTGTTGACAAATAACGATTGCTTGTAATCAGTGTCAAAATTACACACTTCCTACAAGTTTCACCTGAGTGGGCACTTTTGGCTGAATAGATATCGCTTCCCCTCAACCTCAAGTCCAGTTTCAGGTTTCTCACTGTGGCTCTGATGCAAAACAACGAGCAGAGGCTGAGTGGAAAGTGATCTGGGATCTGTGGTCGGGAACCTCGTCAAACCTCAGACTGCTTTCACGTTTAGAGCGGCCGAGGATGAGGAACCATTCAGCTCGATAACGGGAGACGACCTCTGCAACGAGGCTGAAGCTGTGTGTGTGTGTGTGTGTGTGTGTGTGTGTGTGTGTGTGTGTGTGAGACAAATGTTCCTGCTCCCAGTTTGACCACTGAGCACTTAGTACCACCACTTTTAAAGCACACACACGATGCTGCCTAATGCAGCGTTTAGATGGTGAGCAGCAGGTACATGTGCTGCAAGAAGCCATATGTGCTTTTACAAACATGTGTGTTGGCGATTGGCCGCTGCCTGCTGAGTCAGCAGGCTCGGCCCCAGCCATCACACCCTTCAGCTCACTTCCCCCTCTCCTTCCTTCCTTCCCTTGCCTCCTTCTTCATTAATTTCTTGATTATTGTTTTTATTATTATTCCCTCTAATCACCGCTTCTCTCTCTTCACTGATTTCACACACCGGTCGTCATCCACGTCATTCCTTTGCTGCCGGGAGTGGCCCGTTTTGAAATTGGACTTAATGACAGACAAAATGCATGCAAACATAAACAAATGTTTTTAAAGTCTTACGTCCTCATAAACACAAGCACACGCCCTGATAAGTGTACACAATCTAACAACAAGCATCCGTTTAAACCGCGTAAACACAGAACCGAAGATGTTTGTGCAAACCAGGAAGCTGTAGTGTGTAATTATTCTGCGTAATGTCACATTTTCAGAAGAAAAGTGCTCCAGCACTTGCAGGTCTCGTGCACATTTGAAACGGTGTCGTGGTGCTAATGATGCGCTACAGCATCTTGTGCAACAGCAGACCTCAAGCGCCTTATGAACAAGTTGTATTTAACCTAATAAGGAGCTGCTGTGCCTCAAACCGAATGTGAAACATTCTGAAAAACACTCGACCACACATGCGCTTCGGTGCCACCCCCACTGCGCTCGGCTAACCCTCCACGGCTCGGTGACGTGAAGTGATAGTAGCGTGTGTGGAGGCTGCTTTGGTGTTGTTTTGGTTCACATAAACATCAACGCAACACCTTAGGATTGTTGCCAGGTTTGCAACCTTGACCTAATTTCCTTGCTTTTGAGGCACAAAGTTCACGCACCATAAAAAGATACGCGCTTGTCCGCGTGCCTGAATACCCGCTGCATCTAAAAGTCTCCGGACTGCCAGGTTGTGAATATAAAGCGCGATGCCTTTTTTTTAACTTTGGATGTGTCTCCGTGCTTCTATCAGTCATCCAAGTGGAACAAGCTTCGGCTTTTGTTGCTGCGGTGCAAGCTGGCCAAACACCAATCATAATCAAGTATTCTGCTCTGCTTTCATAATTGGGATTTCCACAGTGAAAAAATGCAAACCCCGGTAACTGTAGACTTGTAAAGTGGGTCAACTTTCATTCTTCAAAAGGGACTGGGAGTGCTGTAAGTAACACAACAGGAAACTAATTATTTTTATCCAAAGCATCATCTACAGGTGTTAATGTTAGAGGCGAAAGCAGCGCTGCAATTAACCAGGATTTACTTTGCAAAGATAAAACAGCCATTAAAATGTCCTTGAGTACGAGGCGATGCCTTTAACTGTCCAAGAAAGAGTTTCAAACTAGTATTTGATACAATGTAAAAGCAACAAGATCACAAAATCTTCCACTGAAAACAATTCAATCAGGATTCTGTTCTTTCGTGAAGCCTTTGTGTTGAATTGTGTTGAATTGTGTTGCATTGTGTTGCATGTAACAGGAAAATATCCCCCACACAATTACACCACCACTCGCAGCACCGCTCTGCTGCATACTTTGGTCATAATGAGTGGTTATATCAGTCACTTGCCTTCCTATCAGCTCGAAGCAGTCTCACCACCCTCTGACCTCCGACCTCTGATCACATCAGCAACAACGTCACTCTTAAAGTCTCTTAAATCACCATTCTTCCTCTTTCTGATGCTCAGCACGTCATCTTTACCATGTTCACTCAGGTGTTGCCACGGGAATATTTGCAGTACCTAATTTATTATTTATTTATTTTATTTAGAAAGAGGGGCAATACATATTACTTAAGATTTAAACAAATGTAAATATGCCAGATTACAGCATCGGGCTCATTTCCATCTGCAGACCTTCTGGCAGGTTGGTGTTGAACACGAGTTAGTAAAAACATACAGAGACATATTTACAGGTCATGTGACGAGGACAGTGATCACATCATATTAGAACAAACAAGAAGAAGAGTGGACACAGAGGACAGTATAGATAATAACGGAAACACGCACAAACCCCAGTATTGCACTGACCAGTTACACTAATAGTTGTTTCCCTTTTTGTAATACACAAACTCTTATTAGTGTACGCACTCCCTGATATGACAGAGCATCTGTGAAGAGGTGCTCCGTCAGTCACCTCTAACAGTGGCTCGAGTCAGGCGAGAGCCGGCAACACTGCTGGACTTTACTTTAATACAATCACTCATTGGTGGAGGCGGCAGACTGTGTAGAACTTTGTATATTAGACAGGCAGATTTAAACAATTAGAAATTAGTAAAATGTAGAAACTTGTATTTAATTTAAATTTGACAATGGTGATATGAAAAAGGTTTCTTATCTAATATTTTAATTGCTCTTTTGTAGCATTCGATTGGCCCAATAGCAGCAAAGCTGGTATGAACTTGTAATAGAGTATTTGATATGAGCCAGTATCACAGATCGCTGCTGTCTGGTAATGATGTGCGGATACAGTTCTGTATATGAACATTTACATGTACCTTTGGCACTATTAATTACAGTCATGAAAAAATTGAATCGATCGGTGCTTCTCCCACTAACATCTGTGCTGGTATCTGATGCACGTAGGGTCTCCTCAGCTCTGAAATTAATGACGTGTGTTTATGTACAACAGTTTAGCCACTTTACTCCAAATCAGAAACCGCAGCAACAGCACAGAGTAACTATGAACAGGTCGAGGTTAAATGCTCTGTCGTTTACTTCAAATCCAAGTTTAGGAGAGGGAGGCTTGTTCCCATTCTGCTAAGAAAGACATCACACGAGGACGTCGGCTCCTCTGGCAGCCAGCTGAGCTTTTCTGATGAGCAGCAGTAATAGTTGTACTGCATTAGCGTCACATGGCTGAACGGACACTGAGCCCATCCTCTTCATCCCTCTTCATCCCTGATAAGAACTCGAGAAGTGAACTGAGCTTTGACTCAGCATCTACAGCCCCCCCCCACCCCACCCCACTATGTTGCACATATGTTTCATTGAGTCAAACATACATATGCTGACACACATGCATAAAGTAAAAATGAAAACAGTGCTTTCAGCTCCTGTGTGCAACTCTGGCCGAATCATCCTCATCACAACATGTAGGCACCCCGCCCCCACCATCAGGCAGATTAACTGGCCAGAGACCACATGCCCAGTCTGTGGTCAGACAGCCCCTCCCTGGCAACACCAGCAGGATGGAAATGCTCAGGCCTGAGATGAGTGAAAGAATAGTCTGAGTATGTGACCAGCAGGAGCCACGCTGTGATAAAAGACATGCTGCAAGGCTGCTCTCAGAGACACTCTGTGCACATGGTTACACACATTAAAATCACCATTTCTACTCTATGAAAGCAGATGTGTGTGTGTGTGTGTGTGTGTGTGTGTGATAAAGAAAGAGAAGCGAGGGGAGGCGCAGGCAGGAAATCCGCATCACTTGCTAATAATATGAAATTATATAGTTTCAAATAGGTTAGTTTCCCTTAAAACACAACAGTTGTAATCTGTGACTAGATTACCGGAAACACGACGAGTCAAGATTTGCATAATAATAACGATGATGAAGGATAAGAGGGATAATGGATGGATAACAATAATAATAAACTTGCAGAAACAAGGCGTGCAGCTCGTGCATTAATAAAATAATTTATCTAACAAGCATCCATTGGACCAGTTCACCCAGCACGTGTAGATAAGGCTATCTAACACGCACACATTTCTTCCCCTGGGAGTCCCCCTGTCTTCCTCTCCTCTGCACACAGCGTGCACATTCAGAGCGTGCACATTCAGCGTGCACACTCAGAGCGTGCACATTCAGAGCGTGCACATTCAGCGTGCACACTCAGAGCGTGCGCTGTGAAGCTGTGCGGCAGCTACCGTGTGCATCTGCGAGAGCATACGGACAGTTTCTTACGCTGCTTGAACGGCACTAAAATGAGAACCTGCGGTACGGGAAGCTGCGCGCGCCGCTGCAGCTGTGTTTGCGGTAGCCTGAGAGTCAGGTTAATATTTTCTGACACTGTGGTTAGGCTATCTGAGAAGGATTTAAGGTGTCCCTTCCTCTAACTTGTTCCTGTGTATTAAACCTGCAACAGGTTCCAGACAGTGCTTCTTAAACTCCCACCTGCCTGCACAGAGCATCGTGTGCCTCCCGTTATAAGTACTGACAGATGGGAGGCCACACTTGTTTCAATTAGAAGAATGAATCCCTAAGGCGAGCGCATTAGGGACTGCATGGCACCCACCTTAAACAGACTTTCTGTCAGTCCCCTCCTGACCTTCGTCCACAAATAGGCGCAAAAGAAAAACAGGGCGATTTCGGTCCAGGTAATGTAAGCGTTATCCAGGAAAGTCCGTTTGCTGAGCTCCAGACCGCAGCTGCTACAGTCTCTCCACGCGTCCAGCATGACGATGGTGGATCTGGTGATGAACTCTATGTAGCCTGGCATGGGCTCCACTTCAACCGCCCCGGCGCTCCCGGCAAGACTACCCATTGTGGTGAGGCGCAAAAACCAGCACGCAAGAAAAATATGGGCAAAGACACCAGCGAGCAGCGCGGTCCAGACGCGGCGACTGACTGGTTAAACAGCTCGCTAGCTGCGCTTAAAAAAAGAAGCCAGAGCAAGCCTCTCTAACCAGCTTAACCTCTTCAGTAGCCTAATTCTTTGTTTTCCAAATTAAGACCGGGGCCCATTCTTTTGCGTCCAGGACAGTTTATGAATGATACAGGGCCCCCGCCAGGTATGAGAGCAGACACGGCGGACTGCGCGGCTGGATTTGAGAATCACGCAGAAAAATTACGAAGCCAGTACAGACAATTAATCTGAGCCATCAGCGGCAGCCTGGAGGAGGTTTCTTCTGTTAATCATTCCGCTACGCACTCAGCTCATCTGCGCCCCGGTTAGCCGCCTAGCTAAATGAAATCGCGACGCACACCGCAGTGAATGGAGCAGCATTGGCAGGGGCTTCCGAGCTAGCTAGCGACTTGAATGAATTAGCATTTATCGCCTTTGAGCGCACAAACACAGAGGGAGGGGGGGTGAAAAAAGAGGTCCAGAGCTTCTGTCGCTTCTCCGGTGATGGTGGCAAACCCTGCTGCGCTGTCACACGCGCGCTCTCATCGGGGTCCGTTATTCGCCTTATATAACGCCTCCTGAGTTTAACCTGCAGTTTCCCGTCACACGGCCGAGTCTCAGACGGACACAAGTTATTCCAGCTTCAAAAAACGGATGAATGAGGATGTTCTCATCCCACCAGGAGCCTCGTCGCCTCCTCTTATTCTCCTCCTCCTCGTCGTCTGGCTTCTAAACGTGTCCGAGGGTTTGACGAGCCGCGCTCACTGGTGCGTTCAAAGACGCACAGACAACCCAGCTACGCTTAAAAGAAACCGGGCAAAATAAATAAATAGAAGGAAAAAAAAGCAGAGGGGCTGTGACGTAATTAGCGTTGTCTTTGTGTTTGAAAAAAAAAAGCGTCATGTGCACGATTTGCATCACAGATAATTCAGAAAGCGCGTTCATGTCTGAATTTCCGGTCTCTAATACATTCAGGCACACAAATCCACACATCATCACACAGCGGGGTCACACGTTTATTATCATTTCAAAGGAATGCTCGCATTACACAGATGTGCTGTAAAACAAATGCAATTTTTAAGAGTGGATAGCAAACGAAAGACACGTTGGGCTGTCTCCCCACGGGGAATTGTGACATCTAGTGTGGTTTAAATATTACAGCCAAAGTTTCAGAGCAAAAAATACCAAAGCACAGTACACGTTTAAATGAAAGGGAGAAGCTGGGTCTGTGGTGTTAAAGTGAAGTCCATCCATTGTTAGAGTGCCTCCTCAGTACGAGCAGATGCTCTACGCTGTAGCTGTGGGAGCGTACTGCATGGCTAGTCTGTCAAACTCGTTCTCCTGCAAGAGAACAAAGAGCAGAGGCAACAGTTCAGCACCACAGGAGCACTGTAACCCACTTTAAGCATGTTTATGTACATCTGCACTCTTATGTAATGACACCAGTGTGGGACAAGGGCTAAAGACCCACAGTGGCTTCGCTCCAAAGGACACCTGGCACTAAAACTTTCATAACATCCAAGCCACGAAATTAAACCGATAGATTTGTCAGAATGCTTAACGACAAGATTGTTACCTTAGCTAAATAGTCTTTGAGGAACGGGTGGGCTCTGTGTGCATCTTTCAGCTGGGAGAGGTATCGACTGGTTACCTGGGGACATCATGAAGTCATCAGACACACAGAACCAAAAACAGGTAACGTTGGCCAAAAACAAAGTTTAAAAGTCCACAAAAAGCAGGTTTATAGAGGAAAGGTGACACGGGGTTACCAACAGAGAAACAACTTTTCCAAAATGTCTGGAAGCAAACTGTAACTGTTACACTGGTAAAGAATATCAGAGTCGTGCCATAAAACCTCTAAATGCTCCACCTGTGTACTCCTTTCTATAATACCAGATATTCATCCCTGTGTTTCGTATAGTTTGCAAGTAAATTTCCTCACAACTCCAGGAAACCTTGAGTGAGATGTGCTAATCAGCGGTTACTGCAGGTGGAAACAATCTGATGATGACTTGTAGCTTCATGTCAGCAATGTGCTGCTATCTGTGTGCTCTGAAGTCCTTATAATGTAAGGAAGATAAGTGAGCGTTATCTCATGAACTCTGATCTTCAGATTGTGCAACTCCTCTATGGCAGAAAGGATTTGTCTGGTTCACAACAAAACATTCCTAATACAAGAAGTGCATCTTATTTTTAATCCTCGATGTAGGCATGAAGGGTGAGCAAAGCTGCTTCAAACCTCTTTGGAAGATGATGACTTAATCTATAGGATATTGATAAAACCAATGGTTAAATCACAGACGGCTTTGGGTTCAAAGTCTCACCTCGGGAGCTTTGCCCAAGTGCTGGGTCAGCACGATGAGGTTGATCAGTGTCTCAGGGTGGCTGCTGTCCTGATAGGGATAAGAGAGGAAGACGCTTTAGTGTCAGCATGTTTAAAGTTTCTTACTGAAAGACTCAGATCGACCTGTGATCCAGTTTAATGTCACACCGATTTAAATGAATCACAGCAAAATCATGTGCTTTAGAACATTACAGCAGCATGAACCAATGCTCTCAAAATCAATACCTGTAAACATGATAAGACCAGACTCACAGCAGGCATCACCAACCAAGGTTATTCCAGGCAAATCGTTAGTATCTGTTAGTTTGGTTAAGATTTCATAACAGCTTACCTGATGTGTTGATTGAGAATCTGGACTCAAATTAAAACTAATGCAAGCTAAGCTAAAGCTTAACATTTTAAAACAATAAAGATGTTAACTCAAATGAGAAAATACACCCAAACAAAAAGGCAAAATCTAACAAAAACTAATTAGTTTTGGGGAAAAATGGATACTGTGTAGCATGGTGATTTTTTGTTTGCTAATAATGTATGGATACAGGGACAGCAGAAATCGATATTTTGTTACAAAAAGGTTTTTGTGCTCTGACTTCAGAGCATGTTGATCCTTTTTCTGAGCAAGAATCCTGACATTCCTTCACTGTCCAAATGTGTTTCACTTGTTTTTGGCAGCAATAAACATGACAGTTTACTTATTTTAATTTAAGACATGTTTTATTTTAATGAAGTTTAAAACTTTTTTATTTAATGTAAAATTATATTTTGTTTTAATTTACTTTCAAATTCTTCAGTTGCTGAAGGGGCTGCATAGTTTTCATAAACTGCATAGTTCAGAATAGCTATAATTGTACCAGATGGTTGATTCAGTTAAGTTGGACTAGACTGTAATACAAACCGTTCAGTTTGTCAACAATCAAACTGAAATGAGAGAAAGACTGAGTGTGAGACTTTGATATTAGAGAAAATGAATATTGATAAAGTTTACCTTTATGTACAGAATCTGAATATCGCAAAATATTTTTAAAAAACTGCAATAATATCGTATCTAATTAGAAAAAACGATAACCCTGCTGGTGGCATCAAAGCGATCTGCACTCACAGATGGATTCAAAATGCAGATGACATTGATTTATAAAGTGACCTGTAGTTTTTATTTACAACAGATTATATTCAACAGTTTAAATAATGATCACAGATAAATAACATTTGTTGAATGGAGGAATAAAAACTACAGTCCAACCAAATCCTGTTAGAGATCAAGTGCAAGAAGTGTGTATGTGCTGCCCCCTGCTGGTACACTCAGATCATTTACTTCTTCAGTTAGATACTTTATTCTTCAGGTCGTCTGGATTCAGCAGTTATAATATGGTTCACACTAAAATAAACCCCGCCTCCCACCCAAACACACGACCAGTCACGTCTACTGAGCGTAACTAAACTTGTGTTAAGCAGAATTGATGGTGCGGCAGAAGCGGCGCGTTCGCAGTCCGCTCCAGTCTGAGGACGGCCCGTCTGGCAGCGTACCAACCAAGTCGTACGACCATAAATTATGCGTTAGGAGTTCTTCATCCCCAGAGCAGTGCAGAAAACGAATTCATATGGGGTTCAAAAATAAGCTTCTGTGCAGGCTGTAGATGCAACAGAAGCATCTGACTGACTATCACACATGTTGGCTGAGATCACGACGAGGAGGAAGATGTTCCTTAACATGAGTTTATTATTACATAAAAGGTGGCACAACTCTCAGCTCTAAGACCACAGATCTAAAAGCTGCCTTAGAAACAAGTTAATAAAGCATTAAGTGAATTGTGCATAAATGCAGAGACTAGACAGACACACAAAAACCAAAAGAGCCAACTCCTGTTGTCCTCCAACCTTATCAAGCGCCTCCTGCAGCACTCCTTCAGCCTCCTCCCACTTGTTCTGAGCCATGTAGCAGGCCGCCTGGCCATTGAGGAGCAACAGTGTAGAAGAGTATTTGTCAGACATCTCTTGGAAAATGTAGTAAGCATCCTGCAGCTTCTCTCCACCCTGGAATAACAAACAGACTGTGAGTCAGTGGTGATTCTGAAAAGTCAGTTGCAGCTGCTTTATATGCATCGTATTGCTTTTGTAATGAGGACGGGGGTGCAGAGCTCCTGGAGATATGAGCTGTTTAATAAGCAGAACAGTCCATTCACCACCTGTCACACTCTGGCTAGGTTAGCTTTACACTGCACCGATATTTCCTGCTGCTTTAGTTTGTTTCAATACAGCTACACCAACTCCTGCATTATGTACTGAGGGTTAGCACAGAGGGGCATTAATGAAGGTTTGTCTCCTCACCACAGCGATGTTAACCCAGGCTGTTGCTAGCTGGGTTAGGGTGGCGTCTTCATCCTGCTCCTGCATCTTCTTCAGTTCTTTCCTATGAAAAAAGAAAATGTGATGAGAGGACGACTGCCCCAATTTACAGTCTGTTTTTGTTAATGCAAGTTTTTCTAATTCACAGAATCAGTAATACACATTAAAGTTAAACTGTTTGATAGAGTACTGTGCAAAAGTCTTGAGCTCCCCCTCATTTCTCTGTATTATGCTATTATTATTGAAACATGCAAACATGCAATAGAAAGTAGCTGCTCTCTTATTTCCCAAGAGGTCACCACAGCGGATGTACGCGCCTGCTGATTTGCAGATTTTACACACAACGCCCTTTCCTGACGCCACCCTCCCATTTTATCCGGCACTAGGAGTAGGCTAGCATGTGACCCCTGAGACTGGGTGTGTGTCTGCTGCCATAATCTTGTCATTTCTGTAAGCAGACTTCACAAATATTTCTCCAGGCTTCTTGAAGGATATTCAAAGCTCGTCTTTGGATGCTGGCCTCCTTTTTTTTGTTCTGTCACGACGATCCCACACTCTGGGGGATTTCATCACACCGGTTGTGTTTGGGATACGCTGCACACCCTGCAGAGATACGCCGTGTTTTTGGCTAAACGCTCTTTGAAAAACCCCCGGTCTGTGTAAGATGCTTGTTTGACAAGTTGTTCATTATGTGTAGATACAGCACTGTTTCCTCCTTTTTTAGGCTAAACTCCTTTGACAATGGTACAAGAGCTGGATTAACCCTTTAAGACCCACCATAGAACCAAGTCCGCCTGAGTTATCTTTATATTTTTACATGCTGTGGAGCCATTTTTGGGAGCATTTTTTAAGTTGCTATACATCAATACAACCATTATAGCCCAAATTTTAATAATATGTATGCTTTAAGTCCATAGTAACTACATAAATAGCAAAAAAAGTGCAATAAACTACAAAAAAGAAAATCATTTTTGGTTTTTTACACATATTTGCAGTCAGAGAAATTTCAGAGGTTTATCCCTCAAAACTGTAAATGCAAAAAAGTTGCACAAAATAGTTTCCCACCACAGGAAATTTATTTTAAGTGTCTTCATAGTTTTATATTTGAGACACACCAATTTTTATATACTGCTGGGAAAACGAAAATATAATGCAAATTTGGAAAAACAAACAAAAAACCGCGTGTGCATCAAAATAAACCATTTCCAGAAGTGTAAACATACATTTTAATAATTCAATAGTAAATGCGCTATAGGAAAAAACTATATTTTCCGCAAAAATGACGTCACTTCCGGCTTCGGGCAGGTGATGGTGGACATCAGATAAATCGCACTGACGTCTATTCAACGTAGGAAGTGACATGAACAGCTGATCGGATCGGCAAAGCGTGTTTCTGGAATATTTTGGTTTTGTTGCTGCAAATGCTTTTAAAGCAATTTTTGCAAAGCCATGTGTGGAAGGAAACCGTGACCTCGTACAAGCTGAAAGCATAAGATGTAAGTACAACTCTTCTGGTATCATGTGCACAAAAATGATCGCGCTAGCTTATGTGCTTCCAGTTCTACCAGGCTTTTAAAATAGTTACGCAAAACGGAGCGTGCCCGCTCCGACCGGCCATAAAGGGTTAAAAACGAGCCAATATCCAGAGAAGAACCTGGAGAACTATCGTTTGACACCGCATCAAAAAAAAAATCACAAGAAAGGCTGAAAGCTGGGTGAAGATTTTTGTGCAGAACTGTAGACGTGCGCTTCCAGAAGCTGATCAACCGATTCTAGTGGAAATTCTCTACTGTCATGTTCATTATTCTCTTGGATGAAAACACCAGGTAAGGTCATACCTCGCCAGGTCAACACGATCCAAGCTCAGAAGCACCTGAATGGTCATGGCCATACTGATGAGAAAAACAGAACAACAAGGGCGTGAAGATCCCACTGAGTACAGATGACACATTTCAACACCAGATCTCACGTCCCAAAACAAATTACGAGGGCTCAAAGTTACAGAGTTCACAGACTGTAAACAACCCAGAAATCATCTGTGATATTTAGAAAAACATCAAACAAAATATGATTGATGACAGCTATATGTAAATGCAGTTCATCTCCCTCTCACACTCCCACATATTAGCTGTGTAGGCACTTGTCAAAGCAGCACAGTGAGTCCAGTAATCATGCAAAATGAGCTCAGATGACTGATCTCCATCAAATATTGGTTATGAATAAAAATGAACGTTAAAATTTAAACTGTTCTTGTTTTTGTGGTGATTATTAGTCAAATATGGGTGAAAATGTTTGGAGCGGATCATAAATCAAACCTTGTTAAGATAAAAATTTCACTCCCTTCTTACCACTCGAGGCTTTCTCCTTGGTGCAGAGTCCTGAGGGCAGCATCAGTATTCACCTCGTGGTGATAGATGGAGGCAGCCATGAGTAGGAAGGTGGTGTTGGCAGCATCCACACTCTTTGCCATCTTTTTGTCCAAATCGGCAACGATTACGTCCCTGAACAAAAACAAAGCCTAATTAAAAGCTGTGAAGAAAAAACAACTAGCATCTGAAGATTAAGCTGTTTCCATCTTCTGTCTTCTTCATTCACATTCGTACATGGACACCTTCCTGACTTCTGTCAGGCTGTTAAACATGAATAAAAACTAAGCAAACGTAACGTCACAAAACACACTTTCCACTGAGAACAGGAAACAGTCTGTAACTATGACTACATGAGAGTGAAATAAACAAAAGTCCTACCATCAATATATTTTTATACAATCTGTTAACCACAGAGGAACTGAATTATTTATTGTATCATGTGTGCATTATTAACACCACACTTATTTCTCTTCTTTAGGACACACAGGACATTATTGAACACCTTGATGTAAGACCTGTTGGTGTTGATCAGGTCTGTATCAAGAACGAATGAAAACCCGGGACCCTCAAACACTCAAGAAGTCTCTGCTGAACCCAAATCTCTGCATTTTAAAGTAATCGCACATCTAATTCTTCTTCTTTCAGCTGCTCCCTCGGGGGATGACGCAGTCAATTAACTGCCCATCACACCAACTCTCTGCACAGCTTTTCTCAGATCTTCCTCCTACCATCCTTTGTCCAGTATATCCACTCTCCTCCTCTCCTCTGCACACATTTCTGCTTCGCCTCTTTAACTGTGTCTTCAAAGCATGAAGCCTGAGCCGTCTGATATGCTCATTTTCACAGAGAGAAATCTGCGCATCTTCATTCTGCCTCCAGCTCCATCATTTCGACTTCGTACATCAGAGCATGTCACTGTCATCTTATAAACCTCCCCTTTCAAGCCTGCTGCCATCCTTCTGTCACAAATTGCTCCTAACACTCACATCTACCCACTCTGTCCACTGCCTTGGATGATCATCCCAGGTAATGACCTTTACTACCTCTCCTCCTTGTATTTTCACTCTTACACAGACATGCATCTTTTTTCTGTTGACATTCATTCCTCTTTTCTCTAGCACACATACACACACCTCCACCTGTCTTCCACCCATTTTCTCCTCCCACTACAGTTCAGAATGTTGTCTGCAATCCTCAGAGTCCACAGAGACTCCTGCCTTACCTCATCCGACAGCCTGTCCATCACCAGCACAAACAAAAAGGCGCTCGGAGCCAGAGCCTGATGTAATCCCACCTCCACCTTGAAACCACCTCTCACTCCTCCCACACCCCTCACAGCAGTCTCGCTGTCGTCATACACCACCCTCAAATAAACTCTTGACACCCTCACACAGCATCGCAGTTCCTCTCTTGGCAACCTTAAATCTGCTTTCCACAGAGCCACAAAGACCAGCTCATATCGAACTGCTTGTGTGAACTTTAACCTACTACTGATACAGACTGGAAGGCCACAGTGACAACTAGT